AAATCAAAACTTCTCGACTCTGAACTTTTAACCTTTCCCCCAAAGGGACAAAATTTTTTAATTCCTCTAAAGCCTATTTCACCTTCCTTCACAAAAGACTCTCTCCTACTTAAGAAAAAAATGACGACAAAATATCATCTCTGTTAAATTACTTTTTCAATAGTAGATGATTTATAGTTGATTAGGTAATTAAATCAAATACAAGTGGCTGAAAGTAAATCTATTTTTATCATCCCTGTAAATTAAAAGTTCCGCATCATAAAAAATCATGACCATCTTGAAAATGACTAGTCAAGTGCTTTTTATAGGCAAGCAGGATTTATTGTCAATTAACGTATTGAACTGGATAGTCAGCATAACCCTGTGCTCAAGACTTTTTAAATTATTGGCTTCCGCTATCAAGCTGCTCCATATCACAGTAATGAAATGTATCTTGCTATTCACATATTGAACAATTCCTTAGGTTGGGTTTATATCTCACTATAACAACATTTCATTTTATTATTATCTCCGATCCCCTGTAATGAATACAAATACATTCCTTTTTTCCATCATGGGTTTATCAATTTTCATTGATTTGCCTGTAATGAATGCAGACAGGATGGTGAGAGAAAAATTTAAAGAGATCATATCCTTTAAAATATCTGTAAATTCAAAGGTTTTTCACTTGCAGTCACATCAATTAAAAGAAGCCATTTGGAAGAACAATTGAAAGGAAATATTGGTTTAAGTCTTAACACTTAAACTGTAAAAAGGAACTTGGGGGCCTCTTTTGGGAAAGAAAATTTGGTTTTACAATTTTATTTCTATAGACTTTTGAGAAAAAATAGAAGTATAAATTCTCCTTATAGCTTTGCATTTCACATTTAACTTTTCAGAATGCACCACATTTTTCCTTTCCAACAACAGTCAATTTGACAGATGAAAATGCAGTTTTTGGTGCAGTGATTTGCTAGACACAAAGTGCATTTTGAAAGTTACTCAATGACATCTCTCATTCCCATTGGGAAATTCCCATTGGGAAATTCCCCCAGCCCAAACCAGTCCTCACTGAGGAACTCACTCCAACTCCTGGAGTGGAGACCTCTGCAGTATTTTGGACACTTGGGGCACTGATATCTAAAATTGTTTTCTAAAAATACATTGATTGAAGTCAAGTGCAGACATACAGAAACTCATATTCCAACTGTGTTACCAAGTCTCAAACAAACTTTTAAATGAAATTATAAACAGTGTTCTCAGTTGTGACATTTTATTGCACTATAACATTTGCATCTGCTTGCGTTCTGCAATTATATCATTATGTGATAATGTAATTTGATATGAAGTGATACAATAACATCCTGGCTTTCATTCAGCCACCAGAAAAAAGAACAAAAATACCTCCATGGAACATATAATGTCCAGCTTACCCAGGAAAAGCATCCTGACAGCAGAACCTGACCTATTGTATTTATGTTGTGTGGCAGAATAGGACAAGATTGGCTTGACAAAGCAAAATAAACTGTTGGGCAAAAACAGCCATTCTACTTTTTACACACATTTTATTAGCTAGAAAACTTGTTTGAAACAGATGCACAGATAAGTTTTGGTGGTTTTTTTAAACGAGGAAATGCACTTTAACTGTCTAGAAGATTTCTGTAGGTTTTATTGCCCCAGGAGATCATAACTGAACACTATAGTCAGAGTTTCACTGAGATGGATACTATGACCAACAGCAAAAGCACACTTTGAGGGGGAAAACTCCAACTGCTGCACATCAAAACAGAAGTTTCTTATTATTCCATATATACTGATTTCTTGTCTAAAAAAAGCCAGTATTGTTTAGTCAGAACACAGCATAACCCTTTTCTCTATGGAGAAAATGCACCACTGGTCTTCAGCCCCAATTGAAAACTCTGCAAACCTCCTGTTAATGGGAGAAGAGACAGAAAACTACATCCAGACAGGGAGTCCTAAGATGAGCAGGGAAGAAAATACACTCTGTTTTCATATAACTCTTTTCTGTCTCTCATATGTATATCTGTTGTGCAGAACAAACATACCCTCCTCTCTCCTCTTCTGCTTATCCACTAATTCCTCTAAAAATACCACACAGCATCTCAAATAACCAAGGTAACCCTGACTGCTGTTGTGGGTCACTTCCTCTGGGATAAAACACAGAAAAGATGTGGGGGAAATAAAAGATGAAGTCAGTGCCCTCCTGCCAGAGACCAGAAGAAGTGCAGGAAACCAGCAGCCAGTGCTGTCAGAGCAATTTCCAAATTGCAAGTGCCCTGGTTCTTCTTCCCTGTTAAAAGGATGTTCAGACACTGCCAGAATGATTCCCTCTAGACCTAGTGAATCTCCATTTTCCAGAGATATTCTCAAACTCATTTCTTTAGATCACCCTACTGAAATGCAATGAGAGCCTGCTGTCTGACTTCTCTGTGCTGCTTTGAAAATTCCAGCCTACAGCATTACAAACATGCCTCGAATAAGCTACTTGAAAATAAAAATGTCCTTATCTTCTAGAACTTTAACAGCTTCAGGAGGCTCTCAGTGTTACTCTTGTCAGTAAATAAAGTAGATATTTAATTTTCATAGCTGGTTTGTTTGGTTAGGTTCTTTTTGGTTGGTTTTTTTTTTGTTTTTTTTTTTTTTTTCTTGCCACATGTAATATAATTCACAAGTGTTGCATTTAATACTTTATAACCAGCATGGTCTAAAGCTTGAGAACGTTATACATGAGGAAAATGCTGCATGCTGAACTCAGTGGGACTATTTGCAAACTGTGCCAGATGGAAGAGACTCTCCTTAAAGTCTTAAGTGACACAAAATTTGCAGAATCAAAGAAATTTAGAGGACAACACCTATTGTAAAACACACAGGTGAATAATTATGTGCCTTTCAGAAGTAATCAGTTCTACTTTGATCCAAAAGATTTGGTTGGGAACAGAAGTAGATAAAATTATTTAAAGAACGTTAAAGAGACTAGAAGCATGTAAGAAAACAATTCATTACAAGAGGGTTCTGCTGTAGATTCATCATTTCCTAGGAACTTTAAAACACATTGTTTTGAAGCTCCAACATGGATACAGCATTGAATGAAAATAAGAGTAAAAATGAAAATTAAGAGGTTGGCATCTAGGAAGATTTTTGCATCAATGGTAAAGCCATCAGGATCATTTTCTAATGTGTTTTTTCCTCTCTCTCCAGAGAACAGCCAGTGCTTCCTAATACAGAGCACTTCCCTAAACATACAGTCTCACTTCTGTGCATCACCGATACATTTATTTTAAATACAAATACTCTTATACTGTAATATTTGCTACCAAATCCAAACTTCCCTAGCAGCCCCCTGTTTGGGAGTTTTGCTCAGGTTCTCTGATGGAAAACCCTCATTCAGAGCCAACCAGTGGTCAGAGAGGGGTCAGTGTGTCACAAGAACTGCCCTTCTAAAGGAGGGCATAGCAGGGCTGGAAATATTAATGGTCTTCCTCATAAAACACAAAGAAAGCTGAATAATGCACATCCAGCCTAAAAGTTTGCCCATCAGTCAAACTGCAATGTTTTGGAAAAGGTTTGGTGCCCTTTTAGTGTGCCTTGGCCCCACCACAAAGCATTTCACATCTCTCCCAACCTCTACCATTATTATTAGAAAATCCATTACTAACGACAGCATACAATCTCCAGTGGGGATTAAATCCCCAAGAAAGTGGCAGAAATGGAGCTGTTCAGAGGGATGCTGGGCATTTATGATTTACTGAACTGCCAGATCTGATGGCTAAAGGCCAGGGGCTTTATGCTTTCATTGGAATAGTGACTTTTCATTACTGAAAGAAAGATGCAAAACTAAAGTAAGAGACAGGGAAAGTCACTGGGTTATTTGTGGCTCAGAGGATCCTGATTCAAGCTCAGAGCCTGAGAGAAAGAAGCAAAGGGCAGAAAATACCAGCTTGTTAAATGAATGGACTGTGAGTCCAGCACATTTTTTTTTCAACTTGGTGAACAGGAGGATAAACTCCCTTTTTTATCAAAGGCATTGTGCTTCCAACTGTTATTTGGTGATTCTCTACCTCCTCCCACTTCATTTCTGGACCAGCTGAGGAGGTGAGAGGCTGAGCAGAGGCACACCCTGCCACAGTGGCTTTGGGCAGCACCAACAGCCCACCTTTTTGTGGCGTTTGTTAGCACACACTCACCAGCCTAAAAACCCACAGCTGTCTGAAAACCCGTGATAAAAATCTCTTCAAGTGGCACAGCACTGTTTGACAGACAACCCCAAAAAACCAGGTTTTTAGGACAAGCACAGGGATGGAATTAAACCTCAGTGACCTCACCCTGCAGACACAACATCATCTCCCACACCCAGAGCAGCCTCTCCACCTTCAAACACTTTACAAGATGCCTCAGTAAAAGAACGTCTTCAATCTCTTCATTTAAAAATCGATAACCTTCAAGTTTCCACAGCTTCCTTTGAGAGTAAGGTAAATAAAATTGAGGGAAGGCTGGAGGGATTTGAAAAGCAATGGAGTCAGTTGAAACTCAAACAACAAAGAGAGGAATTCTGCAATAAAAACAAAAAACAAAAAATCACAAAGGAGAGAAAACTATGTTTAAGAATTATGGAACTCCTGAAATAAGATTAAAGTATTGGGAAAAATCAACAGCCTAGTCATAGTATTTAATGCTCTGAGCATCTTCTGTGAAAGATCCAAGATGGATGGAAATTAATGGAAAAATCCAAAGGAGACATAATGAAGAAAAACCCATTATCTGGAGTAACAAAAGTAATACATCTGCATGAATGTTCAAGTCTCAAAGTGCTGCATAGGAAGAAAATAATCACACAGAGCTGGACCAAAGGCAGGGTTTGAGCAGTGGCCAAAGAATTAGAATAAAAATCAGCTATCTTACAAACTCCATAAACCCTTGGCAAAGGATAGGAAGTAACTTCATTTGGAAAAAAAAGAAAAATTTTTCCTAAACAACCCTGCATCGATCTTCTGTCCTGCCAGATTGCGGTTGCTGCTCCTGAGAGAAGAAACACGACACTGCTGGGAAGCAGGAGCAGCACAATGCTTCACACAGGACTGAAAAAGAGACAGCAGGAAGAACTGAGATAGCTAAATCCATCAAAAAATCTCCAACCTGCTTCCTCCACTCCTTTACCCCAGAAGATGCATTTGAGGATGATTGTTCTGGAAAAATCTCCTTGCCCTCTCTCACCCAGCATTGGTGAATTTGCTCTCACGTGCTGCCATAAAGGAATAAGTTCAACTAAAATAATGCAAACAATAAACATAAATCATTTTATGGCTGGTGTGCTATTCTTGGTAAATTAATCTGCTTCCTAAGCCACCCTTTCAGAGGACCTGTTTTTATATTTGACTTATGGGAGCATTTGCAGATTGCTGTTAGGACCAAGTACCTCAACATTACCAGTAGCTATAAATCAATATTTATACTATTACAGTACAACAAATAAATACATGAAAATTGCCTTTACTAAGTTTGCTCCTACTACTGAGAAACAGAAAGGAAAAGATTAATAGAAGCAAGCTCAAAATTCAGCTTTCCTATTTTAAGGAGCACCTTAGGACACGTTCACTTTAACCTACAGGGAGTGGCTCAAGTAAAGCCTGAAATTTGGGTACTCTGGAGTGGAAATGTCCTTGCATATCTGAGCTAGATGTATTGATTTCTGGTGAACTGAGATGAACTGTGCACTGTGCCCAAAGGGGAGGTGTGAAGCATGTGTGACAGTAACAGTGATGAGAGGGAAATGTCACAGGACAGGACAAGGAGCCCACGCTCAAAGATGAGCATTGGCTGAAGAGAGAGCAGGCAGAGAAGTTGATGAGAAATATGTATTTATCACAAATAACGCAATCAGGTGCTGGGGTTCTGGCACCAAGAGATCATCCTGTCCCTGAGCAGGGTCCCCACAGCCCCTGGCCATGTGCAAGGACAGCCAAGCTCAGGCTGTGCCCCAGCCCTGCTTGGGACACGGTGTAGGCAGGGCTTCAAGGGAGAAACAACACACAAAGGGTGCTCTAAGCCAAACCACTGCATCCTACACATTTCCTTCACTTTCTCCCTGAGTAGTGTGGTTTGCATGACCTAAACTCAAAGTAGAAACAGATGTAAATATTTTGAGGCACAGGAATTTAAACAGCCACTTTCCATTCTCCAAGAGCAACATGTAAAGAGTAGCATCTCCTCTAAGTAAAAATTCAGAGGTTCACTCTAAAGACTTCCCTACAGCTAAGAAGATATTCTTAAATTCTCTACATTGAGGCTGAAACGACATGGTTCTACTGACATCCCTACTCCAAAGCACTGGATTGAAACAGAAAGAACCTGGAAACAGAATTCAAATATTGTTAAAGCATTTACTGTCTAGTTCAGGCTCATGGTTTTGACTTGGCTTGCTTTCAGTTTTGTGACTTATGCATTTATGAAGGCTTCTGTGGCTAACTAGTTTTCTTGTGGTTCTTTGTTGCAATGTTTTGTTAACCTTCCTTTATGTATTTTTAATGAATACTACAAATAAGAAATGTGTAAACTCATCCTGAGAAGAGGCTATAATGTCTGCCTGTGCTTTTGATTCACTGCCTCATTTGCAAGATTGCTGCTTATTCACAAATTAATTATGCAATGGCATCTTTAGCTAATAAAGTCTAAACAAAAAACATTTAATCCAATTCATAGTTTTCTCTCAATCAAACCAAGTCTGTCAAACATAATTACATTACACATGCAAAGCAGGAAGGAGCCAAACATGTGCCACACCTGCTTAGTGCTTCTTCAGGCAGACGATATACAGTAGAAGAACAGTTGGCAGCACAGATGGCACAGCAAAGAAGACTTGTGAAAAATGTGGTTATGGAGTGTGGCTTTGTGCTTTTTATTGATGGGAAGGGTCAGATAGTGAACTCAGTTTATGTCAAGCACACCTTTCTGGTACCTTTAGGCTTTGACAATTCTATTTCTGGAGATACCAACTCCAGCCACCTTCTGCTTTCTGAACGGAGGCACCTCTGCAGCTTGGAGGAGTTATTGCTGGCTTCCCACCACAGCCATGAGCTCTGGGGACACCTGGGTTCTCACTTATCATCATGTGTTTCAGGGTTATTCTAAATATTATACCCCCACCAACTTCATTGTATATTTATATAATGAAATCTATTTGCCAATTACAGGGACAGTGACCCTGCACATCTCAGTGCACCCAGTTCACAAGCTTGGGAAAAAGCAGATAATTCACTTGTGATCACAAAACCAAAAGATAACTCAAGCAATTCTGAGTGGCTTTTCAATTTGTGAGTATGCTTAATTGGAAAAAAAAAAAAAAAGTATGATTTAATATTAACATGCAGTTATAGTAATTTCTACTTAAGACTATGCAATTATACTGAGTGGTAGAGTTCCTGAAAATTACTTTAACTAGAGATTTTTTAATCTTTTCTTATACCATTGAAACCATCTCTACGACATAATTTCCAAAGTCAGCATTTTCAGGAGGCAAGACGCCCAAACCCTATCACAGCACCACTCATTATTTCCTAAAATACCTAACACCTAACCTCTGTCTTCCTGTACCCACAGGAAAGAAAAGAAACTCAAAAAACAAACCTCAAAATGTTCCCATTCTAAAAAACTTAGGTCTTATCTCCCTTACCATTATCTGTCTCTTCTCATCAACACAATCCTGAGCTCTGCAAGTTTTGCACAGCTGTTGCTCCTGTGCTGTTTGCACAATTTTAGGAAAGCTGAGTGTGAAACCAGCATTGTCCTGTGACCATCTGCCCTGCCTTTGGGTTTTTCATAACTTTCCCCAGCTCTGAGGAAACATTTCCACAATTTGGAAGAAGACCTTGGGTGCCTCCATAAAGGAATTATGAGGATGCGAGGACAAGTGGGTTTCATAAACTTCACTAATTCCTACAGAATGTTTTCTCTAATTTCTTTAATTCTAGTGGTTTATCAAAGATGCCACCCAGTGCAAGGTTTAGCATAAACTCACACCAACCATGTAAGGCCCAGAAGGATGGAGTTCCTTTTCTCACCACACAAGCAATGTGCCCCTGCAGTCCTGCAGCCCCACAGCCCAGTGGTCCGTGCTGACTGGGAGAGCTGGGAGCACACAGGGGATCTGCCTCTGCATCCCTGAATGGGAGAATCCAGGGAGAAATAAGCAGAGGCCAAGTTCCAAGTGAGCAAATTTGACTGGAGCCTCTCCAGTGATATTCACACATCTGGCTGGCTGCAAGATTTTAGCAACTGGAGCATAATTCAGTAGCCAAATTTGATTATTAACAGCATTTTATAATAACAGTATTAAGACTCCCTGTCAAGTTCAGTGTTGGCACACCTGCATCAAAGCAGACTCAGGGTCAAACACATGCAGAATTTTTGTGCAGCAGGGAGAATGGAGCTGTCCTGACTGCTGTGTTTCAAATAAGTTATACATTAGAGGAGCTCTTTCTCCACTGAGGGCTTCCTCCTGCCTGCAAAATTGTCTCTCCCCTACGTGACCAAAATGTTAACAGAGCCTTCCCACAGCATTTCCCACCAGTGGAGGTGCACTAAATGGAGACTCTGCAGCATCAAGGACCTGGAAAATGGCATTGAGAACTGAGCATGTTCAAATAACTTCTGCAGGAGTCATTCCCTAGAATGCTAAATTTTCAAACCTATGAGTGTGCTTCCAGATTCAAAAATATTCTAGTGCAGAATACCTTGTCTGCTTTTCTCCAAGGAGACTTGACCAGGGGGCTGTTAGCAAGAGCTGGGGAACTGTCAGTGGAACTAAGCAGACAGCAGCAAATAAATAAATAAAACCCAAAATGTTTTTCAGGGATTGAGAGCTAAAAATTATTCAGAGGAAAATACACTGGGATTTAACTTAAACAAAGTTTAAAGAAATTCACAAAGTTTAAATTACTGAGTGAACAACAAATGTCCTGGGAAAATCCTTATGACAGCAGAAGTCGGAAATAAATCAGCAAAAAGGAATACGTGTGTTTTTCTGAGAAGAAAAATCTCAGTGCCATCATAAGTATTAAAAATAAAAATAAAAAAAAGCCTAACCAGACAGTCTTATTCAGAAAGTGTATCTGTTCCAGAGCCTCAGCTCCACTGAAAGGCACCAAGATGAGCCAGCGAGCAAAGCTATAAAAGCAGAATCCCAAACGAATAAATAAAAAGGCCATCTTCTGTTTCAGAAATCAGCAGTCCCATAACACACTGCTCTATAAATCTCTTCCCCACAGACTGCAAAGAGAATGTTCTTGACTAACAGATCTTTCTTGCTGAAATATCACCTGGGATGGGCAGCACTCACTGGCAGGCCTGCACCATCTGCTTACTGAGGCTCCAGTAAAGGAAGCAGCTCAAGTGTTTCATGTTTGCATAGCCTGACTTGAAGGATATAATTTTCATTCTTACTTGGTCACACAGGGACAGTTATGAAAAGCCCAAGTTTTTACCACGCTATTTTCTCAACTGTGCACTATTGCAAATTAAACTTAATGGATGCTTTCCCAAATCTGAGAAATGCTGTTTTGCTGGTATTTGTATTTCAGTACGAAGTACTGGTCAATAAATTGTAATACTCTCCATAGATGGCTGTAGAATCATGGATATGCTGCAATCTGAGCACCAAAATCTCTCCTTCCCCCTTGCCCTCTCTTTCCAGGCATGAATACTTGGGGCATTTCTGCTGGGTACGATGGAGCACAGCACAGACAGCACCAAAAAGGACATTTTGGAGCCAAAAGCAGCGCAAATGTGGAGCTTTGCAGCCTTCATGAGGCAAGAGGATCCTCAGCAAGGGTGCAGTCCTGCTGTGCTGAAACAGCCAAGAAAGTATTGGTGGGTTTTGCTGCAGGAACAGCCTGGCAACACCACGGGTGACATTTCCCTGTGCTGTGCTGGGCCAGGCAGGCAGCAAAAAGTCAAATTGGATTTTAAAAACTAAGCGTACTTCACAATCTCTTCCACAATTTTCATGAGCTTAATAAAAATCTCATTGTTATACCTACAGATAGAAAGCAAGATGTGTTCAACTTTTAGAGTTTTCTCCCAGCTTTCTACCTTTGGATTTTATTGAAAAACTGAGGTTCTTCACCACTTCTCCTCTCCCAATCTCCCTATGAAGTGATGTGACCTTTCATCTTTTCATTTTTTGTTTAAAAATCTGAAGTAATAACTGGTTATTAATTCTTTTAGTATTAAAATTCAAATAAAAATGCTCAACATAGAACATGTGATATGTGAAATATCCACATTTGTCATCTGTCATCATTATGGCAATTTTCACAACAGTTGGGTTTCACTCCAAAGTTAGATACTGCACAATTCTGAACTTTCATTAGAAAGAGCCAGTTATCATAGAATGACAATATACATTATGATTAAACCATTCAAAAATACACAGAAAATAGCATCTGCTTCTTTATTCTTTCCTAAGCTTTGTTGTTTCTATATCCATCTAATGATTTTTGTTTGAATGTCTGAAATTTGCTATGAAGTTATCGTGTGTTGCACAAATGCATGTTGCAAATATTTATGTATGATTCAGTGTAAGTATACAGCCCTAGTGATGTTTACATGCACAGCCATAATCACATGCATAATTGTCAGACAAGTATCTGTTTAATTTCAGAACTGATTTTTAATAATTGATGTTTTTAGCTGGAAACAAGATTATTGAAAAATAACTCCTTAAAAACTGCAATGTTTTATATGCAGGGAAACATTCCAGATTAGAAAAACAAATAAAATTTAAAAAGCCAGAGTGGATTGACAAGCTTGCAACAAAATGGGGAAGTGGCTCTCCAAAGCCCTTTGATTCTCATAGTAATTAACATCATTGTAGCAAAAGAGATTTTTGGCAACATCTCAAGTTTAAAGGTAGCCAAAAGAAGCTTCCACTGGAGCAATACAACCTAAAGACCAGGGGAAAGAAGGAAATGGATTTTCACCTGGCCCATGAAGGACTGACATCACCCCTCTGCTCTGGGCTGAGGTGTCAGAGCCTTTTACCCTCTCATAAATGAGATTCTTCCACTCATCACTGAAACCCAGCAATTCTCCTGCATAATGGGGCAAGTCTTCAACAATGAAAAGAAAAACTTGTGTTTGTATCCACTGATGGAAAATATTTAATTGTACAACTATGGAATTTTACTAAGCATTGATTTTATTGCCATCATGAAGAGAGAGAATGGTGAATCTTGTCAAAACACACAAGCACAGGTTAATGCAGGGTTCTAAACTGATCCACTTCACCAAGACTATTTATTCCTCCACTAGCAGGAAAGTACCAAAGGATGCAAGCACATCCCAAACATTTGTAAATAATGAATACCTAATCTCACTCGCTGTTTGCAGTGGAATAAAATTCTTGACACCTGCGCCTTGTTTATGTTAGACTGTGAAAATTTAAACCAGCAGTCACTTGCAAAGATCCAGATGATGCCAAGGAGAAGTGGAAAAGGATTTGGCCATTCCTCAATCTATACAAACCTCCTTTTGCTTTGGAAGATCTCTGTCAGGTGGGATTCATGTGCTACTCCTGGAGCTCATAGGCAGGACTGCAAACCTGCTCAATAGCCCTGTATGCAAAAGGAGCACAGTGGCAGCTG